GCTGAATAATGGTCATCCAATAAAAAAGGAAGTGAGAGCAGGTACATACAAGATTTTAAGTTCTCCAGTTTTCAGAAAGAATTAGAATTATCAATGTGAATCTTTTTCATTTTGTTTGCTGCTTAATAGAATCTTTCTGTTTCTGGTTGCCAGCCAAATATTATCACAAATTGTATGGACATATTTGAATTCTCTAGTTTATTCATCCATCTGTGTTAAAAGTTGTTTTTAATGAGATACCTACTATTCACAGGTGAAGTTAACATGTCAGTTTCTGGAGTTGTGAAATATGACGCCAAGGTTCCGAAGCTGATTAATAACGAAGTCGTAGTGAGGCTGATGGATACATTCTACAACCCTATAGTCTCACAACATGCAAGGTTGAAATTGGAGATTATTTCAACAAACAGTTCGGGATCTTCAAGTTGGGATTTTACAGACAACAACGATGGGTCATATACCGTGTACTACGTTGCACCAGATGTTGGAACTTATGAAATGAGTGCAGCACTTGATGGAAACCGCTTTGCATCATCTCCCCTGAGGATCAATGTGTATGGCAGTAAGGAAAAAAAATGCTGAAATAATGAGATAATTGTGCTTTATACTTGAGAAATGTGGATTTATTACTGCTTTAATCATGCATTTAGACCAAAAAAAATCATGGACTTGTCTGTGCATTGTTTGCACACAAGACCAAAGGGCGTAGTTGTCTTTTTGACGAGAGATCCATATGCCTAGTGGGTGAATATCTATGAATGCCCTGTTTCTTAGCCTATATGCATATATGGAATAATACTTTGTTACTTGTAAAGATGGTCATGAAAACAAACATAGAAAATTCTGAAGCCTATGATAAGACCCCAAGCACAAAAAACCATTTGGACCTTAATAAAGTTTCGTTTTGAAATACTCATGATCAACAGTTTCATTGTCTCCCAGGTGAGTATTTTCCAAAAGCTTATGAAGATGCAGTGTCTGTATGGGAGGACGAGTCCTTTGCTATTGATGTCTTAGCTAATGATTACTTCGCAGGAAACAACGCTACTATCATTTACTTTTCTCAGGTAGAGAACCTTATCTGTAATGTTTTCTTTTCTCCCTTGCTTCCTTCTAGTTCTTAGTAGCCCAGTTAGGCAGTTGTGTGTGACCCAAGTCTGTACTGTAAATTTCAATTTGTCTTGATCCTGCAATCCCATTGGCAAAGCAAATGAAAACAAACCATTTCCCTTTTCTGTTCGTTTGGGCTGTGAATACTAACAAAAATCACCATATTGAGTCCATTTCTACGTTTGTCCTCTTGTCATTTTGCAATATGACAATGAAAGCATGATATTTGTAGGTAGATGCAGAGATTTTGTTGAAAACTTGACCTTCCAAAATGGTTCTTAGATCATACCTTTATGATACAAGTCTTACTTGTCAGCCAGGTCATGGTTCGCTACTTCAGTATGGACAGCTTCTTAGATACACTCCTTACAAAGATTACTACGGGAATGACACATTCCTTTACACAATATCTGATGTTAATGGCAATAATGCAACCGCTTATGTAAGCATAGGAGTCCTAAAAATTCCGCCCCAGTTTGCCTCCTTTCCAACTCAACTGCAAGCCACTGAAGATATGACCTGCCCCAAATTCGGGTAATATTTTTTAGCTTAAACGTTCTCATCAGCTTTCTTTGAGGCTCTTTGATCTGATATTTTCCCTGACGCTTTGTTCTCTAAACACCTGTTGTTTTTACAGGGGTTATTCTGGTCTGAGGATAACATATGCAGACTTCACAGAGAACATATCTGTCAGTCTTAGTGCACGGTTTGGGACTGTTTCTTTATCTCCCATGCTGATGGAATTCTGGCAGGGAGGGATTTCAGTGAGTAGAGACAGTGGAGAAGCAAAGGAACTAATTTTACAGGGACGTGTTGAAGCAGTGAATTCGGCTCTAGAGTCATTCCAGTATCTCGGGTACTCGAAAGATTCCACTTGATGCTTTGTGTGAAAGAACAGCATCGCATATTGACTTGCTTATGAAGTTCTTTTCACTTCACAACATTTTGTGTCCTATTCAAATTTTCATCATCAAGATAAATGTTGTGTTGTTAGTTATTTTGATGACTATGTCAAATGTTAAGAGTACTCAGAGAATCTAGTTACTTATGGGGAATTTTTTCCCCCTCTTTTTGCAGAAATCAGAACTTCAGTGGTGAGGATACAATCCGGGCCTCGGCTAGAAATGCAAACGGAAAAAACGACTTGGATATACCAGTGGTCGTTGAACCTATTAATGATTCTCCATTCTTTAAAGTACCTGAATTTGTCATACTGAAGTTCAATGATGATGAAGCTTTGATCTTTGATAGGAAAAGAGACAAGTTTGACTTCTTTGCCGGTGATCCGGACCTTCTTCACTTTCCAGGTTTTGATCCTTAGCTTGCTTCTTTTATCTGTTTATTTATGGTCAAGTCGGACCATAAGAATGGGATATCAATATCTTCATATAGCTTTTGGTTGAAACTCAAAACTGTTCTTTGACAATTTGTGGAACTTCGCAATCCTATTTCTGCAATTCTGTAATATAATCAAAAAGTCTAACGAGTGGGTTTTAATTAAGTCAATAAGGAAACTTAAGATCTGTATAATGGAATTATTTAGTAGATCTCCAATTTGGGGTGCTAATTGTGCAAATAGTACATAAATTGTCTGAATGACCAAATATAAACTATGACGGCAAAGTTATAAAGTGCAGATATCTTGGCTTTCCTTTTGTCTCTTCATCTTGGGATCCTATCTGGGGAATGCCAATTTAAGTTGCAGATGGTTGACACGATGCTTTGTCTGCGGTTTATATTTTAGGTGGCGGATCTCTTTTCCTAGTCGAATTTTCAGTGGAAGTAAGTAACGGCTTTTTGGTGACCAGCCTACCGGCCGAGCTCATCAACTCGACTGAGCTGAAGCTGAGGATCTCTTATCAGTGGCAACCTCTTCAGACTTATGTAGCTATCTCGAAACATTTTAAGGTCAAAGCTGCTGGAATCAGGTTCCGAGGAAGAGTCGAGGATTGCAACAATGTAATGCAGCAACTGGTTTATCATGTAAGTAGTTTTTTGTTTTTCCAAGACAAATTTATATGTTCTATGTCAACACATTTCTTTTGAATACACATTTAACCTGTGTGATGGTATTCATGCTCATTCCCTATCTCCAAAATAAATTATTTTCCAGGATAAACCCAGATGCCGTGGCTGCAATCTGTTTTTTTTATGCTTATATTGCGTGCAGGATCAATATTAACTAAAAAAGTAACCTAAGAGCAAAGTGGCCTTTAATTTTACAGGGTAGAGAACATGGTGCCGTGTTAACCTTGTCGCTAAACGATTTAGGAAACTATGGTTGCTATCCAGATTGTGCCGAAATGTCATCATTGCCCCTGTACACCGAAGCATCAGTCAATCTGATCAGAAGAAATCCAATAAATCCGCTGCTTGCTCACTGTAAGTAGCCACAAATCACAACTTAGTTTGCTTAGTTAGATCCGCTTGATTGACCCTTTGACTGTAGGGATTACTGATGCAGTTTTTATATTTTGAGAAGAAATGGAAACTAGTCACTGTTAATGAATAAATTGTCGACTCAACAATGAAGTTGAGGTGACTTACATATGGAAAAAACTATAGTCTTAATGCTGTGTGGGCTGCAGCACTTGGATCAGCTATCATCATTGAATTCGTTCTGATGTCCTACCTCGGTGTTGCACTCTTATACTTCTCGTGCAAATGCGCAATTCTTCTGGTGAATGAGAGGAGACCCAGTGAACTCAGGAATCCAAGTCTAACCGATGTGCATGAAGTCCAAAATCAAAATGTAAGCGATTTACTTGTCCTCGTAGACATTTTTCTGATTGCAGTATCTAGTAACTGGAGAAGATTCTGAAGCAAAAATTGAACATAATCCTAGCTTCGTAGGTTGAAAGTCACTAGCTTTTTTGAGCTGGCATGTTGGGCTTTGTATACTTTGTTCGTTTGGTTTTCAGAAATAGGATTCTGCATCCTTTACACTCCATTGTCCTTCTCCTTGCATCGACCTTATTTAAGTGTATGCCCTTTCTTTTTCTGCCATTTTCAGCCAAGTTCACATTCTTCAGAAAATGCAAATCACTTCTCCGGACATCAGTCGAGCTGTTTGTTTCTCAGTGGCCAGCCTTCTTATTTTCGACAGCTGTAATCCGTTCTACTTTCAAACATTCTTGGTACTATTATAACTATGCCAGTCTAGTTATTGTTTCTCCTTGACAGAGAAACAATTTCTGCAACATCTTTCTATTGAGACACTTTAACTAAAATTTTACTTTATCCTGGAAGAATATTTTAGCTTTGTCAATAAAAATATACTTCATTTCATCTTTTTTACTACTGACAGATATTATGATCTTCTCTTCTTGCCTGCATTGTATTGATGCTTGTTTATTTTGGTGGAAAAGAAAATACTCCGTGCTGAGACTTCCGGATTTTTTTTTTTCTGAACCAAGTAGGGGATTTGTTTTAATGTTTATGTCAATATTCAGGTCGCGCCGCATTTCCCATGGTGAAGCATCCACCAGAGATGCACACTACTCACGATCAGCAAGCGACCACTCTCGTGGAACTCCACAGGGCAGCTATATTCCATTTTCAATTGAAAAAGGATACAGAGATGCGGTTTGAACTTTAAATTCTTGCAACTGGACAGTCTTTGGAGTTCAACATCATGTACAGGCGATCAAAACTGATTCGACTCCTGCTCTTGAGTTTACATCTTGCATCATGTCTCTTATGAGTTACGAACCAGTAGAGAGCGCGTGCGCTTGGACCTGGACAGTAGTTCTTCTGTCTTTCGATTTGGTTAATACACGTAGACGCATGCAATGTGCTTCCTTCGTAGTGATTCCACTTTGTACTAGTTCAATCCACCTTCAAAATGAACAGATACCGATGCATATGCTCATCGATGGAATAAAAACCCATTCTGAGTATCTAGTAAACGTGAAAATATCTTTTTAGCAGATAAAAGCTAGCTGCTTCAGAGTCTCATGTACATAGTTTGAGAAATTTCGGGACCGGGACTAAGCTACTGAACCATCTTATTCATGCCCACATCATTTTACTAGGTTTCGACGATACCAACACTCGATCGAGAAGAGGACAAGCCCCAAAACTTCAGAACATTTGGAAGAAGTCATGAATGTGTTGGATGACTTCTTGAGGTCTTTCCTCGTGGATGAAGTGAGCCACTCCTTCCACGACCACCACATCCTCAAGAAAAGGCACATACTTCTTGAGCCCGCCTTTGTGTATGAAGTCTTTAGTGCCCGGAGCATTGTAAGTGAGGTCCAAGTCACCGACCATGAACTTGGCCGGTACTCTGATCTGAACCCCGGTCCACGGTGCTGTGAGCTCCCAGTTCCTGCAACGTCATCGCAGTGAAATTAAAATGAGATGTCATTACTGGACGGTAGTTTGAGAAATTTCATTGGATATTGACATAGCTTCTGGGTGAAATTCTCGTGTCGTGGTTAACTCAGGACACCGCGTCGATGTGATAACTGATTAGTGCACTCAATTGTTTGGTCTTTCAGACTATTTCATAAGGAGACTTCATGAGATCAGTTGGTAATCTGTATTCAATTTTCTGAACTCGGCAATTTTCTACAAAATATTACCATAACCAAGAAAGATGCACTTATTTTCCAGAATAAAATGACACTAGCATGCAACATATGCTTCTAATTCACAAGGCAAGAGTTGTAATGGGGTAAAGCAACATACAGATCCAAAGCTCTGTAGTAGTTGAATCCACCAGTAAACCCCGTCTTCTCATACTTGGAGGCATAATAGTCAACGTCTTCCTCGGTCAGCCATGAGGGCAAGACGATCGGGTCATCCGTCGGGTGCCTGAACGCTTTCCCTTTCGGCAAGAAAAGTGGGCCCGGGTTTCGGTAATTAAAGAATTCCTCAAGGACTCTCCTTGTACCAATCTGAGCAAACTCAGCTTCCATCTCTCCAGGATCCTATACAGTGTCATTTAACTAGCTCAGCTTAACTCAAGGCTAATCATTTACACGCGCAAGATAGCGATTTTTATAGATATCAAATGATATTTAATGCGCTATCGAATAATTCTAATCAATTCATGTGGCGTTGATTGTCCTGTCACATTAAGTAAAATCTTGTCACTCAAATCATTCAGAAAAGAAAACTAAGATGAAATTTTTTGCAAGATGAATTGCAATGACATGACATCATTGGCTCCATCATTGTAGTTAGGAAAAGGTAAAGATGATACATGGCGTGATAATGCAAGAATCCTTGCTGTTCCACAGAGTGGCACGCGATTCCGTCGGATGGAGAAACGAGTCATTCTTGGACTTTTGAGCAAGGAACGATCCATTTATGTTATTACAAGTACTTAAGACTGATTAACCAGATTATGATAATCAGTTTAAATATTAGAAAAGTAGACATAGGCTGCACCTTTAACCAACACCAAACATTAAACAAATGCAGCGAAAGTCACGACACATTAAACAAAGAGACCACAATGAGACATCACTTACCTAAGGAAAGGGCGAACAGACCTGCTTCGCCATGGAGGCAAAATACCTCTTGTTTTTCCAGTAGCAGGAAAAGCGATTTCGACTAACTTTTGATCTAAAATCAGTTCCGTTCGATTCAGTTTCATCTTTCTCTTCGTGGGTTCATCTTGCGTGGTGGTCCGATTTCGGAGATCAAATGTTAGAATTTGCTTGTTTAGATCAGTTTTTCATATATGGACATCGTAGATTGGTAATTAGGACAACATAAATGATAAGGAGCACACAGCAAATAGGTGGTTAGTGACAATAAAAATTGATAACGAGCTCAAAATAATTTGAAGTATGGTCAGCATTTCCCAGGAAAACCAGACCGAATCAATCAGCAGAACAGAAAAACAAAAGACTGTGAAGCCAAATCCTAAGAAAACCATCAAAATTATGTCGATCACCGAGCAAAAAACGACATAAGACCACCTCCTCTCACCGTCTTCCCAGAAAACACAGCTCAACGTCTATCAAAATCCAACAACCATGTGCACATAAACCACACAACTTCGAGGGGAATAATACTAAGATACGACAAGATCGAATTTTTCCTAATATATTACATGATTTTTAATCTCTCGCGTCATGTGATATGCCCATTTTCGTGGATGAATCTTAGCATTATGTGGGCAGACCACCCGGAAGAGACTGAATTGGTAGGAAAAGAACCTGGAATCTGCAGATGTAGTAGTCTTCGCCATAGGCGGCCCTGAGGCCCTCCAGGGGCTTCCTGGCAGGGTTGCGCGGGGCGAACGGGACGCTGAGGTTCACCAGCGCCTTCACCCGGTCCGACCGGAACAGGCACAAGTGCCACGCCACGATCGCTCCCCAGTCATGGCCCACCACGAACACCTTCTCCTCTCCCTTGGCCACGGCGTCCAGGAGGGCCACCAGGTCCCCCACCACGCTCAGGCCCGTGTAGGCCGAGGCCGAGGCGGGGGCGTCGGTGTCGCCGTAGCCGCGGAGATCCGGGGCCACGGCCCGGTACCCGAGGGCGGCCAGGCCCGCCATCTGGTGGCGCCAGGAGTACCAGAGCTCCGGGAAGCCGTGGAGGAGGAGGACGGTGGGGCCGCCGGGCGGGCCCTTGATCGCCACGTGCATGGCGATGCCGTTGACGGCGACGGTGCTGTGCTCTATGCCTTCCATCTCCAGCTCTATCCCTCTCTCTGTCTCTCACTCTCGGAAGCCTCAACTTTGGAAGCTTTTGCGCTTTAAGCTGTGTTTTTCCGAAGTGTTACGAAGAAGGAACGAGAGGGAGGAGATGGTGGAGAGGAATCTTTGGGAGGAAGGTCGAAAGGAAAATGACTAAGACCCACTTCGGTCGTCCGGATCACGTTAAATTCCGAGTGCACGTGACCTTTGTCCTCGTGACAACATCTTATGCGCTCGAAGAGCTATCGTGGCTTCATTATCGTTCGGACCACTGCAAAAACCACTAAAACGACCTGTAAACCCACTCTCTTCTGCCAGGCGGATGCTACCTCTCGTCGCGTGCAATCATGAGCCACCACCGCCGGGTCCTTGCCGTCGAGGTCACTTGGCAGTCGCCAGCAATCAGCTGCGCGAGAAGATCGAGGTTCAGTTGCAGGGTGTTTCGGATCCATCGTCGTGCTACACTTTTCTTATGTTGCAACGTTTAGTAAAATGGTTAATATCATGAAAAACCCCAAATCGGTATATTTGTGACAAACTTATTCCAAATTAATTTTTTGACTACCGAAAACTCCAAACTGGTACACTTATGATAAATTTACCCTCCGTTAGTTTCAATTAAATTTTATCATCAAATTGCTGAGTTCAATAATATGTGACAGTTAATAGGCATACTAGTTTGGGATTTTACTCTCTACTTGTCACAGATGTATCGATTTGTGATTTTTCATGATATTAATCTATTTTAACATAAATTAGTTAGGGTAAAGTTATCACAAGTTGTAAAAGACTATGAAAATCTAGCATTGCTCATCATTTGGATGGATGACCAATTGGAAAGTGCCTTATCTGAGATGGGGACATGGGAGACAAAGCGACAAGAACGTGTAACACGCATGACTTTTTCCTTTTTGGGTTGCTTTTTTCTAGCAGTGGAGGTCTTACTTTACTTAAGTGCTCGAGGCTAGATCAAACCAAAGAAATCTCAAATAGGCCAAGGCATCAGCACAAAGCAAAGTTGTATTTCGATCTCAACTTCCTTTTGATCAGCAGATGTTAGAGAGGCCCCATCCATCATGACCCAGTGATCCCCCGTCCCGCTTAAGCCCTTCGTCTTTCGTTAATTCGCGATCCCGCACGTGGACGGGCCAAAATGGACCCTGATACGATAGGTCCGAATCCAGACAAGCATTTCCTGATCTCGTGAGGCCTGTGCAATGAGCTCAATATGACGTGAGTGCTACGCTATCTCGATTGAAATGAAGATGGTACGGAGTATTGATCTCGATGTGATTGTCTAATCACGCAAAACGATAAAAATCAAAGGGCCAAAGGGGAGACTTTCAATTGCTTGCTTTTACTGACCAAGCAAAAGTTTTACGCTCCATTTATTGGGATTAGCTTCGTGAGGCAAATGGAAGGAATCCACGTGCCCTTTCCTATCCCTAGAAGGAGAAAATATCCCTTCCTTTCTTCCACCAAAAGAGGAGAAATTTTTCTTTCTTTTCTCCAATTTCTTCTCCGTTTTGCACATGAGGCCCAATTAGGTCCTCAATTTTTCCATAATAGATGTCCAGAACAAAGTTCAGTCCCTTGTCCAATCCAATACATAGTTTTTGACACAACCATCATTATCACTTCAGTCTAGTTGAGTGTGCTTGCCCGTTTGGGGACCAATTGTTTGCTTTGATATTTAGGGTTTGGAATCTAATCTTAATCAAACATACAAGGGTTAAAACCTAAAAGTTGCCTGCTTTTTCACTACTTGAAACAACTCGGACGGGAAAGTTAAAAGGATCTCTTTATCCTAGGCAGCCAAACTCAGAGTGCCGCACTCCAACCTTGACTCTTTCTTTTCACATTCCAACATGAAAATACCTACCTATTAACCATATTTGATATAATTTTTGTTTCGGGCCAACCTGTTTGATTTATGTCTGGCCGAACGCTCCAGAAAGTCATCAAGAGCCGCTTCCATCTCAATTAATGTGATTTCTTTTAAACACTACGCCACCCAGAATATTCATTCTCAAAATAATAAAGTTGCACAAGGTCCCAAAATGACGGACCACAAGATATGGCAGTGGAAATATTTAGAGATTGGCATTGAAGAACTTGAACTTGCATCAATTAACCAAGAATATCAAGAAAAATGACGCGATATGTTGAAGCCATCTGCTCCAGCTCGGCTGAATCTCACGATTGCATGCAAAGTGTCTCGTCCACGCGTACATTGGGTAAGGCTTTGCTAAAAAATTGATAGCATGGCCAACAAGATATATTATTCTGAGCGGTAAATATTGTGATTTGAATATTGTATTTATCACAGCCGTTCAAATCCCTTACGTTTATTAAATAAATAGAAGAAGGCAAGGCACACGTTTCTTGATCCTTCTGAGAGAACGCTGCATCCACGAAAATCAAATGACCCTTGCATAAATTCGACGAATGATTTGGTTATCTGAATGGCACTCCGTATATGATATGAGCCATAGTCTAGATGATAATGCCGAGTGCAAGTCGATGGGCCTCTCTATTTTCGTTTCTTCTTTCCCTAATTGTTATATCCGAGGCAGTTGGACTTACTCTAACTTCTGAGTTTTTGTCCTAATTAGTATGGTTGATGTGCACGTTTATATGAACTGATTAAAAGATTTGAGTTTGGCTTCCAAACTCGATCGTGCACATCAGGACTATTGGCAGTATTGGCGGGATTTGCATTCTTATTCAAGGAAAGGAGAGATTGTAGGCAAATCTGTATGTTGATAGCTTTCCTATTTTTTGGAGTTTCCTGTTTTTCGGGTTCGCTTGTTTCCTTTGTTGTGGCAACCCTTGTGTACAAATTGCAGAATAATGGTAGCTTAACTCTCACGACAAACAAAAAAAAAAAAGAAGAGAGTTGAGAGTTTTGTCCGAGGACGTAGGCACATTGCCGAACCTCATTATTCTTGTGTTCTTTTTTGTGATTGCTTTACTAAAATTCAACATGGTATCGGAGCGAGTTTGATTCAACCTGTGATTTTTGGTGCTTGTTTCTCTCTTTGTTGTTGTCATATCCTTGTTATTACTAGCAACACGTCATGGAGGGGTCAAAGAAGTCAGGAGATGCATCAAACGCAACAAAGGTGCAGGAGACAAATAACCAGAGGTTGACTTCGTTGTTGCTAAACGAAAGAAATTACCTTCCTTGGTCACGAGCTGTAACAGTTGCTCTTGGGGGTAGATCGAAGCTTGGTCACATCAACGGGAAGATTAAAGCCCCTCCCGCGACAGATCCCAAATTTGATGAATGGCAAGTGAATGACCATAGTGTGATGTCTTAGATATTCAATTCCATGGAACTGGAGATCTACGAGATATTTGCATATTCAGAGTCTGCCAAGGCGTTGTGGGATTCGATATACGAGATGTATGGTCAAGCCAGAAATGCATCTCGGATCTTTGAGCTGCAGTAAGGACTTGCTTGTTCTAAGCAAGGCACAACACAATCTTTCACTGAACACCTCGGAAAAATGAAGAAGCAATGGGATGAGCTTCATCAGTATAGACCTATGACCCAAAATGTGATGGATTATGTCAATCGAGAAGAGCAAGATAAAATCTTTCAGCTATTAGCAAGCATCAGGCCTGAATTTGAGGACACCAAACGTCAAATTCTTATGAGTTCTCAACTGCCTACTTTCAATGAAGTTTGTGCCATAATCCAAAATGAGGAAACAAGGAGACGTGTCATGCCTTTAGCTCCAATTACATCAGGAGAGCTTGGTGATCACACGGCCTACAGTACTATCAACACAAAGCAAGGAGACTCCACTACTCGGTTTGCCAAAGGAAAATTTAAGAAACTAGCACGGTTCCATTGTGGCCATTGCAATCGCGATGGCCATTCCAAAGAGAGGTGCTGGGTCCTTCATCCGCATCTGCGTCTTTCAAAAGATAGGGGTTCGGAAGCTAAGGTGGTAGTCCAAGACAATTCGAATGTTTTTCAATCCAAGTTGGAGGCTTTGACTCAACAAGTTCAGCAATTACTTCATATACATGGCAATGGAACGAACGCTTCTGGCACTGAAACTGGAAATTTGACTATGACATCTGGTAATGTTTATGCTTACTCAGCTTTATCCAAAACTCAGTTTATTGTTGACTCTGGGGCTACAAACCACATGTGTAGTTCTCCAAACTTGCTATCCAATATTACTTCGGGTGTGTCATATCCACCTATTACTATTGCTAATGGTGGGCAGGTTCCAACTAGTGGTGTTGGACAAATTAAATTTTTCTCAAATAATTCTGAAGCCTTATTGGTACCTGAATTATCCTCAAATTTAATGTCAGTTAGCAAATATACTAATCGGTGAAATTGTAATGTTATTTTTACTCCTCAAAAGGTGTTTTTTCAAGATCGAACCACCAGGAGGATGATTGGTGAAGGGCATTTGCAGAATGGGCTGTATATGGTGGACCTCAACAACGAAGTGTTGATGGCCCAAAGGAAGACTGTTGACACTTCCGGATTGTGGCGTTGGTGTCTGGGTCATCCCTCTGATCGGGTGTTACATGCTCTTGACATGACTTTAAGTTATGATTCCAATTGTTGTGATCCTTGTCATTATGCTAAGCAGCATAGGTTACCATTTCCACATAGCACACAAAAATCAGAACAGTTTTTTGATTTAGTTCACTCGAATGTTTGGGGGGCTTCTCCTATTGACACTAAGGAGAGGTTCAAGTATTTTGTTACATTTATTGATGATAAATCCCAAGCTACATGGCTTTATTTGCTTAAATCCAAAAGTGAAGTTATGACTGTATTTCAAGATTTTTGCAATATGGTGAAAAATCAATTTAACACTTTAGTGAAGATTCTTCGTACAGATAATGGAACTGAATATACCAATCAGGCTTTTCAAGTGTTTCTACGTGGTCTGGGAGTCATTCATCAGACCTCCTGCGTGGGAACTTCATAGCAAAATGGAGTTACAGAAAGAAAAAATAGGCATCTGCTTGAGGTTACCCAAGCATTGTTATTCTCAGGAAATTTACCCAAGACATGTTGGACAGATGCAGTCCTTACAAGCTGCTACTTAATCAACCGTTTGCCTAGTAAGGTTTTGGGGTATAAAGTTCCAATTGAAAGTCTGTATGGCCGAAAATTGGGTATCTCTCACCTAAGAATTTTCGGATGTGTGTGTTATGTGCATTCTCAATCTGGTGACAAACTGGATCCACGGGCTCGAAAGTGTGTGTTTGTGGGATACTCGAATGTCAAGAAGGGATACAAATGCTATGAACCAAGTACTGGACGTGTTTATATTTCTTGTGATGTTGTCTTTGATGAGGCTCACATGTTTTTTGCCAAGAATCAAATTCAGGGGGAGCAAGAT